TGGTCCGTCACGCGAAGTCAAAACGGCCCGTCTGTTCCATGTGTCAAGAATAGACAACTCTCTAGCAAACTGTTGTCTCAGTGCTCCCACGTTCGCGCGATTAGTGAAGGAGCAGTTAGAAAAACAGGTTCTTGTAGCCTATGTTAGGCCTGTTACTGCGCCTACGGAAGCGAAACCTATAGATCCTGCTATAAGCTGCTGGAGGAGTATACAAACTTAGCTAAGCCACCTATAGGAGTGGTGCAGCGGCCTATCCAGCATCGTATTAAGATAGAGCCTAACAGTAGGATTCCTAAGGGAGCTACCTACAGAATGTCCCCAAGGGAGTTAGAGGAGTTGCGCAAGCAGTCAGATAAGCTCCTCGAGAAGGGTTGGATTAGGCCCAGTTCATCTCCATTTGGAGCACCTGTCCTTTTCGTCCCCAAGAAGGAGGGAGAGTTTTAGAATGTGTATCGACTATAGGGGTCTTAATGCCATCACAATGAAGAATGCAGAACCGCTGCCCCGTATAGATGATCTGTTGGATCGAGTGCAAGGCTGCACATATTTCTCAAAGCTAGATTTGAAGTTCGGCTATCATCAGATAGAGGTTCATCATGATGATCAATATAAGGCAGCATTCCAGACTAGATATGGGCACTACGAGTTTATAGTGATGCCTTTTGGACTAACCAATGCGCCAACTACATTCCAATGTTGTATGAATGATCTGTTTAGTCCATGGTTAGATAGATTTGTGGTAGTATACCTCAATGATATTTTAGTTTTTAATAAGACCCTCCAGGAGCATGAGGGTCATCTGCGGCAGGTCTTGGAGAAGCTAAGAGAAGCTAACTTCAAGATTACGCGAAGAAGTGCGAGTGGGCCAAGACGCAAGTTTGTACTTGGGCCACATCTTCGATGGGGATGGCATAAAGCCTGAGGATAGCAAGATAGCAACGATTAGAGACTGGCCAACGCCCCGCACATTGACAGAGTTGCGGTCATTTCTAGGCCTAGCCAACTATTATAGGACGTTCGTCAAGAACTTCTCTACCATCGTTGCACCCCTTCGCAGGTTGTTAAAGAAAGAAGCAATCTGGGAGTGGGATAGAGACTGTACATCAGCACTGAAAAAGTTAAAGCGGCCCTTGATAGAGTATCCAGTCCTCAAGGTAGCTGATCCATCTTTGCCTTTTGTCGTCACCACTGATGCAAGTCAGTATGGGATCGACGTTGTGTTACAACAAGATGGCAATGGGTATAGACCCGTAGAGTTCATGTCCGCTAGGATGCCTTCAGAGAAGGTTGCGACATCGACCTATGAGTGAGAACTCTACACAATCAGGCAAGCCTTAGACCATTAGAAACATTACTTGCTTGGGAGGCACTTCAAAGTCTATTCAGACCACAAGATGTTGACGTGGTTGTAGACGTAGGCCAAGATGACACCTAAGCTTACCAGGTGGGCCGCAGAGATAGACCAATTCAACTCTGAGCTCAAGCCAGTTAAAGGACAGTATAATGCAATTGCGGATGCTTCAACAAAAAGTTAAGGAAGCCGATACACAGGATCCTATTTATAGTGATCTTCTCAAGAGAGTTAAGTAGTCTCCAGAGTCTGAGCCAGACTACCGCACTACAGATGGATTGCGATTGACTTGCACTACAGATATATATCATACTTGCGGCGCACCCGCACTGTGCCCTGCGCGGTGCGTGGACCCAGATGCGGTCCCAGGCACTATATATCATACTTGCACTACAGAAGATAATCCTCTCCTCCACCCCCTCCCTCCCCTCACGATGGATGGACTTGCACTACAGATATATATCATACTTGCGGCGCACCGGCACTGTGCGCTGCGCGGTGCGCGGACCCAGGCTGTGCGCACACCGGCGCGCGCCGCGCATCTGGGTGCGCGGTGCACTGCGCACGTCCGATGTGTTGCGCGCATGTGCGCAATGTATATTTCCATGTTCTAGGGGTAGATTCATTTGCTTGTTCTCTCTCTCTCTCTCTCTCTCTCTCTCTCTCTCTCTCTCTCTCTCTCCCCCCTCCCAACTTCTTCCGCCACTTCCGACCATCCCACCTTCGGCCTTTCTCCCGCCTT